AGACAGCCTAAATAACGCGACCAAAGGCACACGCTAATAAGTGACAGATTTAGGACTTGAATCAAAAGAGTTTTGACGAGTGTTCAGCAAACTTTCTTTTTAAGAGAAAGGGCCATTTCTGTCACTAATATCAGCCCTGCTGTTGTGGCACTGATGCAGCCACACACTGTGGAAGCAAATGAGCACAGCTGTGTTCCAATGAAACTTCACTTATACAACAGACAGTGGGCCCATTGTAGCCTACAGGCCACAGTGTGTCCACCTGTGCCCTTAATTCTACATTAAGAGGATGAGGACCCAGAAACATCATAGCTGTCTGAGAAACAAAATCATAATTGTGAACAATATGTTGACAATTCTCTGGTCTTGTCAATGTGATACAGCATACAGTTCACTAGTGATGATGCAACATGATTTATGGAAGACAGACTGTATAACAGGTACTACCTTCCATGCTTGGAATACATCACCAAACAGAATCGACAGGACACACCTCCACATGAGCTTATCTTCCAGCAGGGATGGCGGGGGAGCTGGTGAGTAATGTTTATCACAAACACACACAACACACAGCTGAGTTATGCAATATGCTGATAAGTGCTGAGAGGCCGGGAGAGAAGTAGATCACAGTAAAGGGTGTGGGAACAGGAAGAGAGGCATGGGATGGTGATGCAGGTCTCAGTGAGAAGGTGACATTTAGGCAAGACTCTAAGGAGGTAAGAAAGGAGCAACGCAGGTATCTTGGCAAAGAGCTTTGCAGGCAGAAGGGAGAGCCAGTGCAAAGGCCCTGGACTGAGAGCAAGAGGCCTTTGTGTCCTGAGAGCACTGCACAGGTGGTGAAAGAATGAGGCCAAGAGCTAATGAGAGCCTGATTTGAGAGGTCTCAAAGCAGGGTGAAGATGTGCCTTCTGCTCTGAGACATGTGGAGCAAAGGGGTGATGCAGTCTGACTCAGGTTGTGAAAGGATCGCTCTGACTGCTGTGTTGTACCTCAGGGTCAGTAGCTTTAACTTAGGTTTCCTGGATTTGGTCCTGACTCTGATACTAATTTCTGGTCTTCCTAATAACAGGCAACATAATTAATCATTCTATGCTGGGTTTCCATATCCACAAAACATAATAATAATATTTACCCCACTGAGCAGTTATAAGTCTAAAATCAGAAAATTCAGGCAAACCACTAGACAGAGTTCTAGGGACATAGTGAACACCACATGAATACTAGTTATCCTAAGTATTATAAAATTTACCTTTCTAATAAAAATGACTATTTTTCTATAATGAGCTGTTTGTGAATGTGTGCCTCTACATGACACAAGTGTGGACATGTGGGCTGTGTGAGTCCTCACCTCCACAATGACAGCAGGTGCCACCTCACCTCCAGGCCCTGCCACTCACGAAGGGTGGTAAGAGGTCACTGTGGGGCAATTACCCTCTGTAGACTGGGACAGCTTCTGGCACCTCTGCAGTCACACAGACATCCCATGAGAAGTTGAGATGTTTCCCAAGAAGGGAGGGTACCCACTGAAGACTGTGGGGGATGAGGAAGCAACAGGAGGAGAAAGTGCCAATAGTGGCGACCAGGTGTGCTAGTTCCCAGCTACTGTATAACAAATATCCCAGACTGTAGCAGCTCAGAAAACAGCAAACCTGTATTGTTTCATGGGTTCTCAGAGTCAGGCATCATGGCAGGGACATCAGCTGGGGGTCTGACTTGGAGTGTCTCTTGAAGCAGCAGATGTCAGTCAGGGGGGCAGCATCCGAGGTTTGACTAGGGCTGGGCAGGGGACAGGTTCTGTGTCTATTGCTCCCTCACATGCTGTTGGAAGAGGCCGTAGTTCCTGACTGTGTGCGCCTCTCGACAGGCTGCCTCACTGTCCTGAGAACATGGCAGCCAGTTTCCCCCCAGTAAGTGATCCCAGAAAGATGAAGCAGGGTCTACAGTGCCTTTTAGGATCTGGCCTGAGAAGTGGTACCCTGGCTCCTCTACCACATGGCATGTTCTTCAGAAGCAAGTCACTAGGTTCAGCTTACACTCAAGGAAAGGGACTCAAGCTCCACCTCTTGAAGGTCAAGTATCCAAGAATTGGTGGACATATTTTAAAACCACCACACAGGGTGTATGAGCTTGGGGCACAATAACATTGTCTTTATGTAGTGCCAGCTTAATTTTCAGAAAGTTTAAAACATGACTCTCATGCAAACACATAGTGAGGACACATAAAGGTTTACGATTATTAATAAATGAGGAAGCAGCAGAATGATACAGTAGATTTAAAAGATAAGCCAGGAACAGAGGATGAAATGTGGAATAGTTTGGCTGACTTAGATTTTAAAAAACTGCTTAATGAATTGCAAGGCGGTAAAAGGCACCCTTTGGTGCTGTCTTTTCTATAAGGCAGTCATTCAATTGCAAATTACCATCCTTCTTTTAGTTCAAATCCAGCTTCACAGAGTCTGGTATCTAATACAAAGTATTAGTAAGTTAGAAGAAGGTGTGCTCCCTAGTGAACAGAGTGACTTCTGGTGGGCTGCCTGACAATGCTCTAGTGTGATGCATTGGGCACACGCAATGATCATTTTGTCATATTTTCAAGTTTGGAGAACTTTTCTTAACAAGAGTTTGTTTTATCTTTCTCACTTTCACCTTCCTAGCTCATTCATTTGTCCATATTTGTCTCCACTGAAGTGCATTACAGTGTAGATAGCTCTGGCAGAGGCCTGCCCAGCACCTCAAGGAGCCCACTGGCCTGGGGTTGGGAGAGGGGCGGGAGGGCGGAGGCGTGCACCAGCATCTTTCTTTAATAGGCAGAAGGAAAAAAGTTCTGTGAAGCTGCAGGTTCACTAGCATCAGGGGCTCAGAGAGGGCAGCCTGGGCAGACAGCATTTTACCTTTCTAGGTGAAATAATGTCCACTTCTCCAAAGTCATTTTGCAAATAAAAGCCTGTTTGCTTAAAGTCACTTTGCCTATAGACCAACACCTTTGGGAATTTCTTTCTGTTTTTGCTTTTGTTTTTTTGCAACTATTTGCAATTATTGTCATTTTTTAAAAGATTTTATTTATTTATTTTTAGAGAGGGAAGGGACGGGGAAAGAGAGAGAGAGAGAAACATCAATGTGTGGTTGCTGGGAGTCATGGCCTGCACCCCAGGCATGTACCCTGACTGGGAATCGAACCTGTGACACTTTGGTTCGCAGCCCATGCTCAATCCACTGAGCTACGCCAGCCAGAGCACTCAGTGTCATTTTTATTTGACCAATTTATGGTTATTTTAATAATTTTGTAATAAAGTAACCTCCACATCTTTTATTTTTCTGAAGGTGTTCATCACATTAATGGCATTATGTGAAAAAGAGAAGACTATTTTCTATCTTTTGAACAACTTGATATTTTATTTATTCTTGAGCACTTTAAGGCTCATTTAGGCCAAAAACCTGAAGACAGTTTTCAAAAACTGTATGTCTTAACAGTAAATAGTTATCAATAGTACTCAAGACATAATTAAATTTCATTATTATGCTTGGACACTTACCTTTCATTCAGCTTGATCATGGAGAGTGTGTGGGTGTATTAGCACTGCCTGAGTCACTACACAGTCACATCGGACTTTACCATTTGGAAAGGAAGAAAGATCAATCACAGAGAGCATGAACTAGATTTTACTTCCTACAGAAACCATTAGACACATGAGACAAGATGCTGACACAAGGATGCCTGTCACAACATCACTTTCAACAGCAAATAATAATAATAACAACAATATAAAGGACTGCTAAGAATTGATTACTGTAAATAAATGATGTTGCACCTATGCAGTGAAATACCAAACAGCTATTGAATGTGATGACATCATGATCTATATTTGGTATGGGAAGATACTGTGCTGCCTTGCTACATGCACAAGCATGCTGGCTGAAGAGAGCGTAGTCCTACATCCAGTCATGTGAAAAAGCCATGGGTAATGTGTCCACGTGCAGAGGAAAAGCTGGGCTTACAAGTTTTCCGATGGTGCTATAGTAGTGAAGACAAATTTTCTTCTTTGCCAATCTAGATTTTCAAGTTTTTCTACAATGGCTATGCAGACTAAACATCCTGTAAGCAGGAGAAAGCAGGAAAGCCCCACCTCTAGGGACTTCCACAGGCCTGAGGGTTTGGGGAAGGAGGGAAGGAAAGAAGGAAGGATGGAGAGAGGGAGGAAGGAAGGCGGTAGTTCTAAAGTCTGCTTTCTGAGCTGCTGTCTGCACTGACACCTTTGGGTTTGGAGGGACCTGAGATCCAGGAACCAAGTGCTCAGGAAGACCTAGGAAACCCCAGGATGTCTTCAGAATTGTTAGAAGGAAGACAGTCTCCAGAACCTTCCTTCCCTGGGAGAGATAGGGTGGTGTGAGGTCATCGTGGGAAACCCTGCTCCTCCCATCTGCAGGAGTTTCAGGCCTCTCCCTAGCATGTTATTAAAGGGCCCGGGCGTCCCTGTGCTCATCCTTGCAGGAGCAGCAGGCAGACACGGTAGGCTCCGCCAGGAGAAAGGAGTGGTCTTAGGTGTCCCTGGGGAGCTAGTTTCATTCTCCCCAGCAGGACTGGGGTTCTCTTCTGACCCCAGACCTAGGACTCCCAGCTCTGTGGGGGCTGTCCACATGATGGGGGGTTGGGAGGCTGCCTGCTACCCAGGTCCCCGCCAGCTCAACTCTGTCTCCTCCTAACACCTGTTGTTTCACAACAGGACAGTCCACACGCTGAAGGTCAGGATGGTTCTGAGTGGGGCCCTGTGCTTCCGGTGAGTATCTGAGCCTCTGAGTTGGCCAGGTCCTGGGGGAAGTGAGTGCCAGGTGCACCTGTTGTCCAGCCTTGTCCAGGAGGGGGGGACCTGGACCAACCGAGCTGCAGCTCCCCAGTTTAGATGGGCAGGTGGGTAATTGTGAACAGCCGCTAGCTGCCCTAAGAGAAATTCTTTAGCCTCTTCAGTCAGGTAGCTACCTCATGGGGGCTCCTCCATGTGAAGATGGACAGGTGAGTCACCTGTGTGGAGCTGCAGCCTCATGTGTCCATGTTGAGAGTGGAAGTCAGGAGACCTGCTGTTACACCTGCTGTGGTGACCTGGCATCGCCGGCCCCTCTGCTCCACTGCTCCCTGCTGCCCTTTGGGACAATACAACAGCAACAAAATTACAGCTAGTTTGTCTGTCCTTGGGTGTGTGCTGACCAGGCACTCAGCTACACTCCGGACATCACAGCCACGAATGGCACTCGTTCTTGCTCTTGCCGAACTCAGAGCCTAATCAGCCTTTCCCAAAGTGTGTTCTGTGGAACCCCAGTCCTACAAGCTTCTTCATTAACACAGTGGGGCTCCCTGATCAAGTAAATGTGAAAAATACTGCTGTTTATGTCTCCTCATATGTGAAAGTAGGTTGGGAGCTCTGAAGTAGAGATTTGTCTGTATTTAGCCAACTTTGAACCAATTTGTACACAGCATACTTTTTTCCACGTAACATCCAGGAAAACCCACTGTAGGATATACCATCACCTCACAGGAGGCCAGAAAATCAGCTGTGCTCACACATGAGACATACATTTGAAAAGTCAGAGGAAAGCATTTTAAATGTAAAGAAATTCTTAATGTAGTAGGGGATGTGTGGTCCAGCAGAAGTAAAAGCCCCTGGATGTCTTCAGTAATTACTGAAGAATTAGATGTTAATCTGGACGAGGCCTGGGCATTGGCTAACTCACCGTCTTAGCTTAATGATGGGCAGACCCGAGCCCAGAGGGGATAAGTGGCTTGTCCTTTGTGACCTAGCAGCAGTGGGGAAGAGTAGGACGAGGACCCAGGGCTCTCGTCCTACTCTTTCCAACATGACTTTCCAACATGACACACGAGGGACTGCTCGGTATAGAGAAGATTAAAGAGGGTGAGGGACAGAATCCTTGACTTGTAGGGGGTAGTCTGTGGGGTGGTCCCCTGGCTGGACATGAACCCAGTGGGGCTGGGAAAAGGTTGTGCCATTCCTTTGGCACAGCAGGCAGACAGGGAAACAGTGCCTGGAATGGGGAGACTCTGGAGCTAGGCCAAGCTGGACACACACCCACCCTTCCCTGACTAAGTGTCATTGTCCTGGTGTTCCAGAATGAAGGATGCAGCATTGAAGATACTTTATGTGCATGATAACCAGCTTCTAGCCGGTGGGATGCATGCAGGGAAGGTCATGAAAGGTGGGTACCAATCAGGACCCTTCTTCCTTAGGGCTCTGTGCTCTCTGAGGGAAGGGGATGGAAAGACTTAGAACAGCCACATAAGACCCAGGCTTGACACAGTAGCCAGGGTACCCTGAAACCAGGCTCTGAGCAAGGACAAAAAATGCTACACCTTCTGGCAAAGTGAGACACACGCCCCAGTACCACCTGGTGCCTCTAAACCGAGGTGAGAATGTTTCCCGAGGAGAATGCTTTGTTCTTCCCTCACAGGTGGACCTAGGTCACACATTCCTTTTCCTGGGAGCCAGTGCTGGAGAGAAGTAATCAGGCTCCCTGTGTCTTTATTCCCATTTGGGGGTCCCTTCTGTTCTTGGAGATCCCTGGTCACTCAGAGTGGGAGCTGGTAGCACCATCTGGCCTGGTGTTTACTCAGTGTGCACCAGATACCGCAAGCAGCAGGCCCTTCTCTCTAAAACAGCATGCACCTGCCCACCTGGCACACGTTCACCAGGCGCTGGGGCCAGGCAGAACCTCTGCAAGGACGTGTGTGCACACATGTGCACATGTGTGCATGTATCTGTTATGCGTGTGTGGGTGACACAGAGAGGACTGAGACCTTCTCCTGTTCTTAAGAATCTCACAGGGAGTAGAAAATGCCCACATAACTTTGAAGAGTTCAGAGGGCCTAAGGGTATGAAAGGAGGAAGTCCAATGTCCTGCAGGGGTTGGAGAAGACTTGAAGATCTGATCCTGAGCAAGAGGGTGGGCATGGGGGTGGGAGGTGGTACCATATGCTAGTGCCTGGATGTCTTTTGGGCCAGTTGGCAGGAGAGCACCCTTCTCCACATGACAGTTGCTGAGACCTGGGAACAGCATGCCTCACAGAGACCTGCTTCCCAAAGGTCATGATGGGGGAGGGGGAGGGAAGGCAGTCAAGGCCCCTGAATCTGGCTTCCTTCATCTAGGCGAGGAGATCAGTGTTGTTCCCAATCGGTTTCTGGATGTCAGCCTTTCTCCAGTCATCCTGGGTGTCCAGGGAGGGAGTCAGTGCCTGTCGTGTGGCACAGGGCAGGAACCAACTCTGAAACTAGAGGTGAGTCCTGTGGAGCATCACCTGGCTTCACTAGGCAGCAGATGCTGGACCCCTGGGGTCCATTGCTGCTCTGTGTCCCATGTCCTCAGCCCTGGCTTCCTGGCCACTCCACTCATACCCCTCACTGCCATGCCCTTTGCTCACAGCCAGTGGACATTATGGAGCTCTACTTCAGCCACAAAGAATCCAAGAGCTTCACCTTCTACAGGCAAGACACAGGGCTCACCTCTAGCTTCGAGTCAGCCGCCTTCCCGGGCTGGTTCCTCTGCACTGTGCCCGAAGCTGACCAGCCTCTGAGACTCACCCAGCTCCAGGGAGATGACAGTGGGGACAATCACATCACGGATTTCTACTTCCAGCAATGTGACTAGGGCAAGGCACCCCTCAGGGTCTTGTGGACAGAGCTGACCGGGGCAAGTGGAGGAGGAGGAGGCCCAGGTGACCGCTCCACCTCTGTTCTTGGGCTCCCACCTGATTGGCTGGGCACATAGCCGCTCTTCCTTCTCCTGGTTCCCAGTTTGGGTAAATTCTGCTGAAGACTGGGGCTTAGTTCACAATTTCTTTCCATGCTGGGTGGCACTACTGGTATGGAGCCCTGCAAACATGGCACGAGGGGAGTGGTGGAAATCCTCTGGGCTTTGAGGTGACTTACCCAGTGTCCCTGAACCCCACAGGCCAGTCCTGTCCCAGGTTGAGCCTATTATAGCCACTAGCCACTCACATGGGGTCCTCTCACCACCCCATCCAGAATATGGAGGGGGTCAAAGAGTTAGAGACCCCAGGACCAGCCCTTCCCCCCTTCCCTTTAATTCAGCTGCCATCCTGTGTGCCTTTTCCACCCCCACCCTCTCACTGTCACCATGGGCAGGGCAGGGTAGTGCTGCCCAAGGAAATGGCTCCAGCTCAGAAGACCCAGGATGGGCAGGCATGTCATTCCTTTTGCAACCCAGATACAATTAAAATCCAAGATGCTGGTGTCTATTCACATGGCAAGATGCTCATGACATAGTAAGTGAAAAGAGCAAGTTACAAAGTGGCATATCTGTAATTCTGTTTCAATTAAAAATACTTATTTAAATAAAAAATAGAGAAAAATGTCTGAAAGAGTTTACTTCAATTTTAGCAATGTTGGCATACTGGTATTATATGTGGCCTTCTTTTTGTTTTTTAAATTTATTTGTGTATTCTAATTATTCTATGCTGAAGATGGATTACTGGTGTCATAATGAGAAGAATTAATCTTGAGGTGAGCAGACCAGACATCATTTCTGGTTGTCCTCAGCTCCCATGTTCCCGTACTGAGATCTAAGTTGACTGCATTCTGCTGCTTTGGTCGGCAGCAGCAGGAGTTGGGTCTCAGGAGAGCTGCCAAGGAGGAGGTTAGTGATGGGTTCCTGTGGCTGGAATCTCCTGGGGAGGGGATTCACAGAAAGAAAACCCTGCACTTTGAGCTGGAGTGGTCATGGTCCCTGAGATTTCATGGTGTGGGGTTCAGCCTCCAAAGGTCTTCTGTGCTGGTTGAGTAATGTCCCCATAAATTCATGTCCTTCTGGGAGCCCCAGACTATGACCTTATTTGGAGATAGGGCCTTTGCAGGTGCAATTAGTTGAGGTCCTGCTGTGTTGGGGTGGCCCCACATCCAGTATGCCTGGTGTCCCAGTCAGAACAGGAGACCTTCCTGGTCTACACAGGAAGACCATGTGTAGATAGAGGCTGGACTTGTGCTACAATAAAGCAGAATGCCAATGGCCAATGCTCCTGTCAGGAAGAGGTGTTGTCCCCAGACCCTCCAGGGGAGCATGGCCTGCCAGTCTCCCCAAATAAGACTGGTGTGTTAAACCACCAAGTCTGTGGTAATTGGTCATGGCAACCTTTGGAAATTAATGGTCCAGATCTCCTGGTGTCCCCACACTCTGTCCCCTCCCACACTGCACCCATCATCTCTGTGACCAGTGGAATATGGCAGAAGTAAGGCAATGCTGCTTCTGAGGTTCCCGCAGCTTCTATGTTCGTCTGTTTCCTTGTTCCCTTGAGCTGGGGGAGCAGCTGGATGCTGTAAGCAGCGACAGAGACCTGAGTGATGGAAAATGAAGCTTCTTGCCTAGGGTCACATGAGTGAGTGTGGAGGCAGCTCCTCCGGCCCTAGTCAGGCTGCCAGGATGGTGCCGACTGCAGCCTGGGGAGAGCATGATGCAGAACCACCCAGCCAAGCTGCTGTAGGCGCCAACCCTCAGAAACCATGTGAGAAGATAAATGTGTGGTGCTTTAAGTGGCTGAGTTTTGGAGTCACTTGTTAGGCAGCAATAGATGACTAATACACAGGGAAGAGAAGTAAATGCTTTTATTTATTTTCTTTCTCAAAGTGCACATTGGTCCCTCATTTCCCCAAACATTGTATTTAAAAGCTGATCATACAAAATTTGTTGAATAGTCTCTGTTTTTGCAAAGTTTAGCTCTTCCTTGACTTTGCACCTCCAGCCATGCGTGCTAGGGACTGTGACCCCAATGTTTCCACCTAAACCCTGGGGGTGAGAGCAGAGGCCAGGAAGGAACCCAAATATGAGCCAGGTGTTGCACCTGCTCCTCATCTGTCAGTACAACCTGGATTTCACTGAAGGACTAGCAGGGGGTAGCCAGGCCAGAGGGTCTGCCTCCTGGACCTCCAACTGCAGCCTCCCAGGACTTCGTGTCGAGAACACAGCTCCAGGCCCCAGGCTCTTTCTGCAGACCCAGTTCACACTCTGTACCCATGGGCTCACCCATAGACCCTGATTGCCGCCTCCTCCGGGGAGCCTTTGCTGAGTAAGGATGCCTGGTCTTCTGCTTTGACAGTCTTGTATGCATCTCTATGCAAACTTTCCCTCATTGTAATAAGTTGACTTGGGGTCTGTGGCCCCTAAAATGATTTCAAGGTCAAGGCTGCATCGACTTGTTCCCAAGCTTCTTGCACTGTGTTTGGTAATTGGAATTCAGTGAGTGGAATGTGGAAGCTGTTTCTTAACCTGGAACATTCTTTCTCTTCCACCACATAAATTTCATATGCTCCACCCTCAGGGAGCAGCTGAAATTTTCTCATTCCTGAAGCTTCTTCAGCCTGAAGTGGCTCTTCATCATTTACCAGGCAATAGAACTCAAAAGGGCTTTAGCAGGGATGAGCTGACACATGATGATCGAAAAGGAATGGATTTAAAATGCTATGTGTATGAGTCGGGGTTCCTGGCATCACAACATTCAAGAGAAGCATGTCTAGTGGTTTTAGATTTCTTCCATTTCAGTACCAGCCCCCAGCCTTGGGTGGTATTTACAGAGGTGTGTACCCAAGGCCCGTGCAGTCTGTGCCAGTTGTCAGCACTGAGGACCATGGTGTGTCCTGAAGAGCAGAGGGGCCCAGGCCAAGTCTCAGGGAAGTGGCAAAGGGCTGGGAGCCTGTATCCCGAAGAATCCAGACACTAGGGGCCCCTCCAGTACTCCAAGGCTGCCGGTTGGAGGACTCACTTGTTCGCTGTAATTCCCCAACACACAAGCAGGGCCGGTGAGAGGACAGATAGAGCTGCTTTCTTGTGTGACCTGGAAATTTTAACTGTAAGGACAACATACACCATTAGGGTTTCTCCAAGAGGTTTGTGAGCTCCCTGGCCCTGGAGGTGTTGGAGCAGAGCTGGCTGAGCCTACTTCTCAGGGATACTGTAGCACCAATTAAGTCATGTCTGAGGCCCTTACAGTTCTAGAAATTTGTTTTTCTAATCAAGGAAATTGTCTGCCTGTGTGTTGTCTCCAACACAATAGGCTTTTGGCCCAGATCAAAATCTGGTCTTTTTTTTAATCCTCACCCCCCCGCCCCCCCAGATATGCTCCATTGACACTAGAAAGAGAGGAAGGCGGTGGGGGAAGGGGAGAGAACCATTGACTGGTCCCCCACCTCAGTATGTGTCCTGGCTAAAGATTGAACAGCAACCTGGTTATGTGCCCTGATCAGGAATCAAACCCACAGCTTTTTTAGTACACAGGGTGATGCTCCAACCAACTGAACCAACAGGCCAGGGCTAGAGTCTGGTCTTCTTATCTTTCCAAGTGTTTATGACTTAGATCCCCAGCTGGACTGTAAACTAAACTACTCTGTAGGGACCTTGTGCTGTATTGTCTTTGTCACACAGCAGTGTGTGTGCTCAGTAAACACTCACTGATTACCAGGGACCATACCCCCCATGCTTCTGCCCTTTACACAGCGGGACAAGACATTGAGAGAGGGGGTCAAGAATGACTACTGGCCTTAGAAAATAGAAATCTGGTCCCATTCCTGCCCATCTTCTCTTATCTCTCGCTCTGCAGGTGTCTGGGTGTTGAACTGACCTCTCTCCGTCCTCCCCAAGCCTTTCAATGGAACTTTGCAAATGACCTGAGGGGAAAAATTACAATAGGGAAGTTGGTCCCCAGAGAACAGTATACCTAAGTGTTCTGCCCCTTGTGAGTGGATAGATGGACAAATGGATGGATGGACTGAGTTAAGTTCTGTCAGTTCGGGGCCTGAGTGTTCACCCTGCCCTGCTCCCACTGTGTCAAGTGCCCTAGCTGTCCAGGGCACAGGCTGCCTGTTCAGTCCAGGGTGGATCTAAGGTCAATGTCCTCCTGAGGTGGGTTTTCTAAGATATTCTATCTTGTTGCATTTATACCAGTGATTGGATGCCCTCTCATCTCCCCAGACAGGGTCATACTCACCATGTGGTGAGCCCCACTCTCCCATTGCTGGGCTTCAGCTATCAGACATTGTTCTGCCCTTAGGCCCCTTGGGCACACTCCTTTTCCATGTGCTGCCCTGAAGCCTGGAGTGGAGCCCATGACACACCAAAGGGAAGGCAACACAAGGACATCTGACCCCAGCACTGTTTACCTGGTGGCCCAAACCACCAATAACTGTCAATGACAGTAGCGATGAGCAGGGGCCCAACACCTAGCTTCTACAAACAAACACTCATTAGTACCCTCACCTTCTCATTATCCAGTGTGCTGCAGACATTGTGAAATCCTCAGGCTCTTCTTCCCCATCCTAGAGCCAATTTTAAAGATGCTGCAGGCCCAACCCACCTGTTCAGACAATATAAACCCTGGGCAGGTGCCCTGAAGAAATCAGGTGGCGGTTCCAGGCACCCAGGATCTACAGGTCAGTGGTGGGCAGGCAGTGTTCTCTCTTTTTATCTCTTTTCTTCTCCCTTCTGCCAGCATCTCCAATATGCCCCTTTCCTTAACTCCTCCTGGCAACTTTCTAGATGGCAAGATGTCCTACCCATAGAACATTGGGATTGCTAGATAATTCCAGGGGCACAGAGAAGGGATTTGAGGAGAAGCTGTAGGTTGCGTTAGATATTTTTGATACTTAGAACCATAGATTTTAGAAAGTGATGTCAGAGGAAATATCTAGGCCAGTGGTGTTCAGTAGTGTTTGGTAAGGTGTGGGGTTCCTCAGAGATACCCCAGTGCCTGCTTCAGTGGTCAAGGAA